TTGTAGACAAAGAGATTTTTTTTGTTCTCCGTGGAGCCTTGCAGCCGCTTAGAAGCGGTTTTTAAAAGAAGCTTGATCAAGGATTTAAAGTGGAATAAAATGTGTGGTTATTATTCTTGTAGGCGCGCGATACTTAGTTTTCTTAAAAATTGGCGGTAAAATTGTTTTTTAGTAGAAAAAATGTCGCGGAATGAAAAAAATTATAAATGCTTTTATTTATTTATTTTCATAAAAAAAACATCAAAGATATAAAGATGTGTTTTTTTAAGTACTTTTATAGCGTATAATAATATTTTTATAGGCAAGTTTTTATGTTACGTTTAAATAATTATTTGCCTGTTTGTATACTAAGCATTCCAGATTATTTTATACTTCATTTGAGTCTAATATTTCTTTATAGAAGTTTCAGAAATGACCAAAAAAAGTATAAATGTTTTTATTTTTTCAATAAAAAAAATTAAATATAATAAAACAATATAAATATAAAAAATTATTTTATATTTCATTTGAATTTTGTTTCACTTTTTAATTCTTGATATGAAGCTACGTCCAAATCTGAATGCTGCTTGATGACAATTTTTATCACAAATTTTAGGTTCGAGTCCTGGCAGGTGCATGGACGTTTGTTAGTGTTTCAGAATTCACGTTAAGCTGGAAATCCAGTCTAATTAGTCCCAAGTGTGCACAAAATAACTGTAGAGCGGCAAACCAAACCAAACCATTGTCCATCAGTGAAATAACTGTTCAATTAACCAACCATCAGTGAAATAACTGTTCAATTGGACGTGTAAAATTTCAATTAAGGTTACCTCAGTCTTTTTAATTTTAGTACAAATGATTTCAAATTTCTCGTTTTTTTTCCTTGCCCTTCTTTTTTGTTTGGTTAAAACACATAAAACTTAAGCTGTTACATAAAAAAAAATTTAACCGGATAATTAAGAACATTATCAGATGTGGTCAGTTTAAGTAAAATGATCCAACTGGGATTCAAACCTTCAGGGAGGAAAAAAAATACCAAACTTAACTAAAGAACATAACCGAGACGTTTTTTAAAGAAAAAAAAGAGAGATTAATTCTTTTTTACTCTTCCTCACTTTGGTGAAGCCCAAACCACACAGAAAGTGGTTATCCCTGAGGGAAATCTTTTCATTTAAGTGTTCTAACTCATCCCGAGTTCTTTCAAGGACATCGGCCAAAAAGAACAAAATTAAATTATTTTTTATTTGGGAGATTACGACCTGGAAATTCGCCATTTTGGCTTTTCTGGATTCCAATCCAAAAGTAAATCCGATTTATGTAGCATTGCTTTATTTAATGCCTACAGAAGGAATGCTGCATCTTGGGTAGTTTTACTTATTTATTTATTTATTTTTTGTCGTTTTTTTTTATGTCTACCCTTTTCGGGATTATAAAGCTCAGAGAGTAAAGCCCTCCGGAGATTCTAGGGTAAACAGGAGAACGGGAAATTCGGATTAAAGGATGGAACGTTGTAGACAAAGAGATTTTTTTTTGTTCTCCTTGGATCTTTGCAGCCGTTTATAAACGGTTTTCAAAAGAAGCTTTATCAAGGATTTAGAGTGGAATAATATGTGTGGTTGTTATTCTTGTTGGGCCGCGATATTTTGTTTTTTTCTAAAAAAAATAAAGTTTATTCTACAATCGTTTTTAATAGAAAAATTGTCGAGAAGCGAAAAAAATTATAAATATTTTCATTTTTTTTAATAAGTGTTTGATAGTTTCTATACTAAAAATTGTAGATTATTTTATATTTCATTTGAGTTATAAATTATTAATCAAATTATTATAAAATGATCAATTATTAATCAATTAAATTATTATCACTTAATTTTGTCCCCTTTTTTAATTCAAAATATGCTACATTCACCAATTTATAACAGGAAATTCTGAGTTCTTAACTAAATTCAGTTTAAACCACAAATCGCACTCACTTTGCATATAGGAAGGGGGGTCATGATCAAATTGGCCTGGCGAAGATCGTTATAGTTACTGCTTTCAGATAATGACAACTTCGGAAAAGTGATTCGCATCAATAATCAGGTTATTTTTTGACAATTGTCGGGGTTTTCTCGTAGTCTATGCAAATAAGGAGCAGTTACCCCTAAAAGTTTTCTCAAAGGGTAATCCTTTCATTACCTATTAGTCGATTGTCCTTGACAATACATAAGTGAAACACGAGATCCACAACGCTGGTTAAAAATGGATTCTTAATCAAATAACTCTCAGATTTGGTTGAGTTTTCGCTCTACGGTCATCTTGGGCACACTTCAGGCTAATTAGTCTGGAACCTACAGCTTAAAGTGTATTCCGAATCATTAAAAAACATCCATACCATCGCTAGGATATAACCTGAAGCCTATGATATCAGAGGCCAGAGCGGTAGCCAAATGACTATCATGCCAGTCAGATCTGGGTTTTCAGGAGATACTTCAATGATAGACAACCTATTATTTGAGTAACTGCTCAATTGGACGTCTAAAATTTAATCAAGAATACTTCGGTTTTTCAAATTATAAAGCTTACCAGAATTTCAAATCTCATTTTTTTTTCTTTGCCTTTCTCTTTTGTTTGGTTAAAACACATAAAACTGAATCGCTTACATAAAGAAAACTTCAACCTAGATAATGAAGAACATTGTCAGATGTGTTCACTTTAAGTAAAATGATCCAACTGGGATTCAAACTTTCAGGGAGAAAAAAAAACTCAACTTAAATAAAGAACATAAGCGAAACATTTTTTTTAAGAGAAAAAAGGAGATTCTATGGTTTTTACTCCACCTCACTTTGGCAAAGACTAAACCACAAAAAAAGTGGTTATCCCTGAGGCAAATCTTTTCATTTAAGTGTTCCAACTCATCCCAAGTTCTTTCAAGGACGTCGGTCAAAAGGAACAAAAAAAAAAGAATTATTTTTTTTGGGAGATTATGACCTGGAAATTCGCCATTTTGGCTTTTCTGGATTCCAATCCAAAAGTAAATCCGATTTATGTAGCATTGCTTTATTTAATGCCTACAGAGAGAAATGCTGCATCTGGGTAGTTTTACTTACTTATTTTTTTTTTTGCCATTTTCTTTTATGCCTACCCTTTTTGCGATTATAAAGCTCAAGAGAGTAAAGCCCTTCGGAGATGGTGGGGTAAACAGTAGAACGGGAAATTCGGATTAACGGATGGAACGTTGTAGACAGAGAGATTTTTTTTTTTCTTGGATCTTTGCAGCCGCTTAGAAACGGGTTTCAAAAGAGGCTTTATCAAGGATTTAGAGTGGAATAAAATGTGTGTTTGTTATTCTTGTTGGCTCGCGATATTTTTTTTTCTTAAAATTTGGCGGTAAAATTATTTTTAATAGAAAAAATTGTCGAGAAAAGAAAAAAAGTACAAATATTTTTTATTTTTTACGTTGAAAAATCGCATATATAAAGCTGTTGCATATTTTAAATACTTTTTATAGTATAGAATAATATTTTTATAGATAAGTTATTATACTCTGGTGGAAAATGGACTGACAATCAAATAGCTCTTAGATTTGGACATAGCTTAATATAAAATTCTGGACATATATGATATTTGTGGATAATAGGTAAATTATTATTTGAATAACTACTGAAATGGACAGTAAAACTTAATCAAAAACACATCTCTCTTTCTAATTTTATCACAAATCCTACCAAGATTTCAAATTTCTCTTTTTTTTTCTTGCTTTAGCCTTTTGTTGGTTAAAACACATAACACTTAAGCTCTAACATAAAAAGAAAATCAACTGGGTAATGAAGAACATTATCAGATGTGTGCACTTTAAGTAAAATGATAGAACTGGGATTCAAACTTTCAGGGAGAAAAAAAAATTTAAACTTAACTAAAGAACATAACCGACACATTTTTTTAAGAAAAAAAGAGATTCTATTGTTTTCTACTCCTCCTCACTTTGGCGAAGCCAGACCACAAAAAAAGTGGTTATCCCTGGCGGAAATCTTTTATTTAAGTGTTCTAACTCATCCCGAGTTCATCAAAACATTTTTATTTTTTGTTTGGGAGATTACGACCTGGAAATTCGCCATTTTGGCTTTCTGGATTCCAATCCAAAAGTAAATACGATTTATATAGCATTGCTTTATTTAATGCCTACAGAAAGAATGCTGCATCTGGGTAGTTTTACTTATTTTTTGCCTTTTTTTTTTTTTTTATGTCTACCCTTTTCGGGATTATAAAGCTCAGAGAGTAAAGCCCTCCGGAGATACTAGGGTAAACAGGAGAACGGGAAATTCGGATTAACGGATGGAACGTTGTAGACAAAGAGATTTTTTTCATTCTCCTTGGATCTTTGCAGCCGTTTAGAAACAGTTTTCAAAAGAAGCTTTATCAAGGATTTAAGAGTGGAATAAAATGTGTGATTGTTATTCTTGTTGGCACGCACTGTTTGTTTTCAAATTGGAGATAAAATTAATTTAATAGAAAAATTGTCGAGAAATTAAAAAAAGAACATGTATGTTTTCATTTCCTTAATAAAATAATATAAAATATGCAAAGCTGTTGTGTTTTTTAAGTAATTTCTATAACATAGAATAATATTGGTATAGGTAAGATTTTATGTTACTTTTAAACAATTATTTGCCAGTTTGCATACTAAACATTCCAGATTATTTTATACTTCATTTGAGATATAAGTTCCCTATCATTTAAATTTTGTTTCGCTTTTCAAATCAAAATTTGCTACATTCACCAATTTATCGCAGGAGTTCTTAATGAAAATCGGTCTTAGTACAAGTTAGAGCCGGATATGGGTGTGGTCGTGATTCGGTGTTGTCTCATGTTAGAATTTGATTTATTTTTTAAAATAATAACAAGATGTTTAGCTGTCATATGCTTTTAAAATTACAAAGACAGCACTGCTCAACTGCAACAGGTAATACACAAAACCAAATTATAGATAATATATTTACAAAATCATCCGTACCGTACAAAATCATCCGTACCGTACAAAATCATCCGGCCGTACCATGCTGAATATACCGGTTCTCGTTAGATCACCGAAGTCAAGCATCATTGGGCGCGGTCAGTACTTGGGTGGGTGACCACCTGGGAACACCGCGTGCCGTTGGCAAATTTGGGACCTGAATGACCGAGTGTCTAGCGCTCTGCCGATCGGTGCCACAGGTTTCGGGTTCGAATCCCGGCGGTGCCATGGATGTTTGTAGTGGTTCGGAATCCACTTTAAGCTGTAGGTCCCAGTCTCCTATGACTGTAAGAGCGTCACGGAGCCAAAGTCAGGCTTCTACCTACGGGCGCTCCATCACAACAGAAGCTGCTTCCTTCCCCTTCAATCATGAGTACGTATGGGCTCGTGGGCTTGGCCAGCCAAGTGGGATAAGAAACAACAACAACAACAAAATCATCTCAAAAGCAAGTTTGTTTAAGCATCTTTGTGTCCTCCCGCACTGCCCGAAACTCTTCACTCGACTGTCCACTCACTTTTTTCTTCCTCTCTCCCCAATTCTTAGTTTGAAATTCGAATGGTGAGAAAAAAAGAAGTAACTGATCTAAGAAGCTGAATGATCTATCAAGTTTGAACTTTTCCCCTCTCGCTATACTAAGTATAGTTTTTTTCGGGAACGCATGGTAGACACTTATTGTCCTCCTTTGTGACAATCATGAGTAATTCCAGAAAAATCATTTATGCAGTCAAGCGAGAATAATATTGCTAAAGTATATATATGTCTAACATTTTCAAATGACTACTTATTCAAACACTGGGGCTCAAATATGATTTTTAATTCAGAAATTCAAGAAATCTCTTTTTTCTTATGCTGGGGCCACGTATTTCAACATGTAAACCATGAACAATCCAGTCATCAGCAATGATAGTGAGTTTTCAGGGGTTGCTTCTTCAAATTTGCATATCAAATAGGTGGAAACTCAGAAAAACATCCACAAGGTAATCCAATTGTCATTGCGGGGCATTTATACGTTTATCAAAATTGCCATCGAGTTTTCTCGTTTCTGAAAAAGTGGAATTAATAAAATATTTCTAATAATAATATGAAAAGACCTTCAATTTATTCTAAATACTACAGTACTGTTCAAGAGATGTAATATATTTATAGTTTATTATACTTGTAAAATGATATGTTTGGCCGAAACAAATCGCTTAAAAGTTTACACATACGATTCAGACTCGAATCATATTTATGCTGTTTGTTTAACTTTAAAAATACCTAAAATAAAACTTCCTATACTAATTGCCAGATCACATAAATATACTCAATCACATCAACATATATCAATACCAACTGTCATACATGTTTACATATGTCTAGATTAACCATGTCACATAAAAAAGTACATTGATGTACTATCGAGAGATTATTATTAATCATAATTCTCCAAAACACATCCTTACATAGCATTTAATTAAAAGACAGAATTATATTATATTAGAGAGTTTTTTTAGCATACAGTACGTTGGTTTTGTGCAGGACGTCCGTTAGCTTTCCCCCTAGCGCGCATGCTCAATTTCCTATGAGCATGCGCGCTAGGGAGAAAAAGCTAACGGACGTCCTACGGTAACTAACGTATGGTATGCAAAAACTCTCTAATATATCTACATTAATTATCTGGAATATTTCATCAGGACGTGAATCTGGCGTAATAAGAACTTCATTAAAAGGGTGTTTTCTAGTTTGAAATTGACAAGGGAATACAAGTATTGCTAAATTCAGTCACATCTTCCTTGATTCCATGCCAATAGAAGTAATATCTCAATCTTTCAGCAATCTTTGTAATGTAATCCATTGCGTGCTCCTCTTAAGCTAGAATGAGCTAATACCAAAAGTGTTCTTCTTCTCTCTTTAGGAACAATTAACAACTTAAAATCTTATCTTTATAATATGCAAATTTATCAATAACAAAGAAATTTTATCTTCAATTTTTATCATCTTACCAGCATACTTTGAAGATGGGTCGTTTATTTGTGAATTTTTAAATATTTTTGGATTCAAAATAAAGTCATTTTGTCCGCCGTTATATTCAGAATCATCCCGACCTGTCTTTTGAAATAGTATTGCACAATATTCTGTTGTTTTCTAATCAAATTCCATTCGTTTTTATTTTACAATATTTTCTCTGTCAGGGCTAAACGACTCATCAAAATTTTCAATTTCATGAAAAGGCATTTTAGGAAACTTATCATTAACAGTTGTGCTTCTGAATTCAAGATTAAATTTTTCTTTATCACTTTCATTTATTCATTAGATGCACTTAACGATAAAAGTAAATCACTGTATAACTTACCGATTATTTTTTTAAAAAATAAGTTATCAAAATAGGTCTCTTAACATTACCATCTTCAGAATACTTCGATAGAAGCAAATAGCACAAGTTAGGGGCAAATATGGGTGTAATCTTGATGCAGTGTTTTTTCATGTTTGAAAAGGAATTATTTCTTTACAAGATGATTCCAAACTTTTCTGTCATATTTATTAAATTTTCTAAGACATCGCTGCATAATTGCAACATATAACACACGAAACAAAATTATATAACAAGTATGTACAAAATCATCATAAAAACAGTTCGTTTAAGGCAGTCGTTCTTTGCATCCTCCGTACTGCCTGGAACTCTTTTCTCGACTGTTGATTAGCTCTGTCCCAGGAGTTGTTCAATACACATTTCACACTCCTTTTTCTCTTTCCTCGGTTAAAAGACTAACGGTTCCAAATTATCGGTTCCAAAGACTAACGGGCGAAAAAAAAAGTTCAATTCGTCCTTGAAAGGAGGATCTATCAACTTTGAGCCTTCCCCGTTGGCTATATTTTGTTGGAAGATATGGTAGATCTTTACTCAAACTAATGAGAGTATATTATTAATTAATTAATAATTACTTTATTATTAATTAATTAATAACAAATTTAGTTCGAATCCCGTTGGGAAACTAACGCTTTTTTCTGGATAACGATATTTTTTCCTGTACAACATCTGTTTTATTAATGGTTTAGTGACTGCATCTGCTA